GCATGTAAGTTTTCTGAAGAGAGGCCCTTTCCTTGGGTCCTGTCTGAAAGGGGTCCAGTGACAGACACAGACAACACCAAGAGAATGTTACCATTCTTCTTAGGACTGTTTTCTGTCTTAAGGAGAGACAGGTTGGCAGGAGGAAGGCCAGGTGGCCAGGTTATGCTCTGCAGGGCCTGGCAGTTGCAGTGTTRGGGTGTAAGCCATCGCAACCTGCGTTGGGTGTGGAAGCTGCACGCCCGTGAGGCAGGTGCTTTGACATGGAGACACTAGAGGCACCCACCAAGCAAGGCTCAGCCAGGCTACTGCTCTGTGCCAGGCACCATCAGATGCCAGACTTAGCCCTGAGCAAACAGACCAAGGTAGAATATGTATTTCCAAGGTGAAGTAATTTTCTTGCCAACTGTAGCTGTCACAGAAAAGATTGAAAGAATTGAGGTATATATTGGAAAGGAATTAACAAAATAATAATCATTTACAGATAAGATTATCTAAAAATTCCAAGAGAATAAACTTAAAAACAAATAAGAATGATATAAAAATATAGTAACTGGGCAAAAAATTCACTTAAAAACTTGGTTTAAATTCCAGGATTTTGGAGTGGTGGGGGGTCTTATGAGAAACCATTAAGTGATGGTGTGCATTACAACTTTATGATTATGTATTAATCTAAATAATTCACTTAAAAACTTGGTTTAAAGGATGGAGAGGTAAGAGGTTGCAAGACTGAGGTCGGCCCAGGCAGTTTATCAGGACCTTGTATCAAATTAAAATAAAATGGCATAGCCGCACACATCAGTAATCCCAACAACTTGGGAGGCTGAGGCAGGAGGATCAAGTTGGAGGCCAACCTGGGAAACATAGCCAGACCCTATCTCAAAAAATAAAAGGGACTGAGATGTAGCTCAGTGGTACAGCACCGCTGACTTCAATTTCCCAGTACCAACAATAATGATGATGATAAAGTAAAAAGGGCTGAGGGTGTAGCTCAGTGGTAGAGCACCCTAGGGTTCCATCTCCAGTACCATAAAACAAAAAGTTTACAACCAGAGCCACCACGCCTGGCTTACAAAGGGTATCTTGTTATAGTCCATGCAGAGTCATGCTGCAGTGTTCCGTGTGGGAAGCGTGTTGCAGGAAGGCTGTGAGAAGATCAGCCAGCTTTACGGAGACCTGAAGCACTTGAAGACATTTGACAGGGGTAAGCCCTGGGTGCACAGCTAGGATTTTGCCTTTTGTGGAGCCTGGTGGTGTCTGTCCTGTTTATTGCTGACTCTGCCTTTCCTGTGGCTGAGGGTCAGACCAGTAACTCTGCCCTGATCCCACAATGAGAACCCAGAGCATCTACGTGGTGGGGTCCTGTCTATATCTAATGGATCCTTGTATGTCTTCAGGAATGGTCTGGAACACGGATCTGGTGGAGACGCTAGAGCTGCAGAACCTGATGCTGTGTGCTCTGCAGACCATCTATGGGGCAGAGGCACGGAAGGAGTCACGTGGTGCTCATGCCAGGGAAGATTACAAGGTGTGATTTTGGGATGCACTTCAAGCCTGGTGTCTTGCCCCCTGTTGTCATTCTGGCCCCCACCAGTCACATGCCCTTCCCCTCTGCATTTCACTCCATTTTCCCAAAAGTCAATCCAGGAAGATGAGTTTTTCCCTGGTAATTATTGTCACCTTTGTTCTCACTGCCTTCAGAAACACAGGATCTTTCTTGCTTTGAATCAGCATCTGTTGCTGCCTGTGGCAGTGTGTTGGAGCAGAATGAGCCTGTTTCTTACTTGGGTGGCAGCCACAGGGGCAGCCAGGTCCATGGATGTAGTGCCTGAGGCTTGGGAAAGGAATCACAGATCTGGTTCTGGTACCGTGTTTTGACAGTGGATTGATGTCTGTGTGGAGCATGCATGTTAGATGCTCTGATGATGGCAACATCAGGGGCTTAGGTGCAGGTGCAGGATAAAAGACACTAGCCCCAGGGTCCCATGAGTAAGATGTAGGCTTTCATTCAGGAGAGTGCAGGTGACATGGATGAACAAAAAAAAAATTGGCTAAGCAAAAGTTGCCATGTACTGTGATGCTTCACTGATTTATCCTGCACTGATCAGGTGGATGCAGGAAGAGATGGGCCAGTCTGACCCCTGTGTGCCCTAAGGGATGGAAGCTTCTCCAGAGCATGCTTTAGGACTGAGGTGAACAAGCCTTCAGGTGCGAGGCTCAACGACTCCCCACTGGGAAAGTTCATCCCTGGGAACATGTGCAGAGCCCAGGGACTGCTGCGGCCACTGGCCCAGGGTCACCTTTTGCCCACCATGTGTCCTCAGCAGCATCAGCCAACTCTATTAGAACACARGGATTTTTTCACTAGCATTCTGCTACTCTTTGAGAGCTTTTGAAATTTTTAACACAATTTTTAAAATATTTTAAAAAGGTTGAAAGAACTGGGTGTGGTGGCATGCCTGTAATCCCAGTGGCTTGGGAGGCTTAAACAGGAGGATCGTGAGTTCAAAGCCAGCCTTAGCAATGGTGAGGTGCTAAGCAACTCAGCAAAACCCTRTCTCTAAATAAAGAGATCTGGGGATGTGGCTCAGTTGGTTGAGTGCCCCTGAGCTCAGTCCCTGGTACCACACACCAAAGAAAAGGTGGAAAGAAAAGTTGGAGTTTCCCAGGGTATAGCGCAAAAAGCGAAMGTATTTGATAAACTTTAAGGTGCATAAATGAGATTTAATTCTCAACATTCACCTATGAAGTCATAGAAGATGTAGAAATGGACACTGGACTCATGCTGACCCTTGGCAGGCCCCAAATTGTCAGTGGTGCCCCCACCTGACTGGTCTCTTCACATCATTGTAATGTTCTCCGGGTTTTCTGACGAAGGGCTGTGAGTGGTGAGTAATATATACTTTTGGCATCAGGTGCGGATTGATGAATATGATTACTCCAAGCCCATTGAGGGGCAGCAGAAGAAGCCATTCGGAGAGCATTGGAGGAAGCACACTCTTTCATACGTGGACGTCAAGACTGGAAAGGTATGTGGGCTACATCTGCTCAGGAATGTCCTTGGTGGTAACCAGCTGAGAGAGGCCACTGTAAGGACACTGAATCAGGCTTCTCCCTGTGCTGGCTCAGGGAGACTTGATACAAGGTCAGCTCCCTCGTGTGGGCCAGRGCAAGGGCCCTGGGCAGGGAAGAGATGGTGACTCTGCAGAGATGGGGACCCAGCCACTAACAGAAACTCCTTTGGAGCTCAGGGGTCAGGAGAGACTCCTCCCATTCTGTTCCATGGCCCAGCCTACCTGCAAGCAGCTGCAGAGGAGCCTGGGAGATGTGGTAGCATCCTTTGCATCCCCCATCCCCCTACAGCATGCAGAGAGGCAGCAGGTCAGGAGACCCCGGCTGAGGTCTTGTTCTACTGATGCATACCTGCCCTTTCGACATTTCCCTGGGTTTTAGGGTTTAGAAATAGGCCAGTGCATTGACACATGCCAACAATCCCAGCCACTCAGGAGACTGAGGAATGAGGAAGGAGGATTTGAATTCTAGGCCAGCCTTAGCAACTCAGTGAGGCCCTGACTCAAAAATAAAACTAGGGATGTGACTAAATGGTAAAGGCTCTGGGTTTGATCCCTAGTACAAACAAAAAAAGATTTGGAAATAATTAAGTAATTTTTATCTTTAAGCTTTTCATTGCTTCTAAGAGTTTTATAATCATTTATCTGGGCCTCCAGAAATTAAGGTGAACTCTGTTGTTACTTATATAGAAACCTAATGTGTCTTTAATTCAGAAGTTGGCCATCTTTCAGCATAAGCCCATTTTTAATAATGTTGGATTTTTTCTTCATTATAAAATACTCATTTTAGAAAGTCTAGAAATTATAAAAAGAATGAAACATTTACATCCATCAGAGATAATCCATTATTTTGAAATACTTTCCAAGTGTTATGTGAGGGTGTATATACTTTTCCTTGGGTACATATTTATGTATATAAAGGCTCATTTTCAAGTAGAAAAAACAGGGGATGGCTATCTGTGGATCTTGCTCTACCTGCCCTGACCTTTCTCTTCAAGGTCACTCTGGAGTACAGACCTGTCATCGACAAGACTTTGAATGAGGCTGACTGCGCCACTGTTCCCCCTGCCATTCGCTCCTACTGACTGAACCTAGGGTCGCAGAGGTGGCTTCTGTCGCCATGTGTCACATCTTGCGCAGCTGCTCCTGTTGAACCTGTCTCGGTAGATGGTAGATTCTGTGCTCGTGAACAAGCAATACGCTTCGCAGATGTCATCAGTCCCCTGGCTAGCAGCTTGTAAGGACTCAGCATGCGGGACASCTCTGCCTGTCTTTATCCCTTGCTTTATCATCCTGGGCACAATCAAAACAAAATGAGCAACCCTTCTTTATATTTCCAAACCCATTTAAAACCTGTACTGTTTGGCTRTAGGCATATGTAATTTAGCAAATGTAATTATCTTATTATTCTGTCACATCAAAATCCAGAAATTCTGTTGTGTATTTTTAAGTAAAGAAGAATTTTCATTCCTGACAGCAAAGGAAGAAAACTTCTCCTTGTTCTTGTCCAGTAGTTCAGGAGGTGAACTTCTGAAGAACTGGAGCGACTAAACCCTGAATGAGACTGATGGAGTAAATGGGTTTCCTTTTAAGTCTGTTCTCTTTAAAGGTACAACTCATTTTAAATATGAATCCATTCTTTATAAAATTCTTCCCTAAAAGGTTATCTGATTTTGTTTCTAAAGTGTCCTTTTGATAAGAAGCATTTCATAAGGCAAGCAAGGCAGCACTGGGTTCACCTTGTCTTTGAAGTCGTGTCCTGTAGGGCAGTAGATGTGGGGACCCACATGTCCTCTGCCCTCATGGAGTCACATTAAAGATGCACAGTATGTCTTCTTCCCATGTCCAGTGCCCAGTAACTATGTGTTGAATTCCTTATGTATTCTTTGTGCCAGACACTAAGCTAGACTTTGGACAATGTTAGGGTGTGATAGAAAATAAAAACTGAATAATAGGGTGGACAATTCAGTAGAAAAGTTTGGATGTAGAATGGAGTTAGTGTCACTTTAGGTTCTTGACCATAAAACATAAAAGCAGAAAGTTAGTGGAAATCTAGCCACTGAAAATGCCCTAGGAGTTGGTTACCTAATGGAGCTGTCTCCTCACCTCCAGAAAAAGGGCCATTGTATTGTATAGGAAATCTAGGTATGAATTCATCCTTATTCATTTAAAGAAATCCACATTTCCTAGTTATGCCCCAGGAGCAGTGGACAGTATCTGGATTGTGGTCTCTAGTATCATTCGCCACTAAAATGAACCACCGCTGCTTCCTGAGTAAGGGCTAGAAATGGTGCCAGATGAACCCAGAACCGTATTCCAAGACAGAGCAAGGAAGTGGACGGGAGCCTTTGTGGAACAAGTTCTGCATCAAAAGCCTAAGTAAAATAAAGTGCTAGGTAGTTCTCTTTCATGCTGAATTCTGAAAGAATAATGGCTGAAGCCATGGGAGAAAGTGTCATCCTGAGAGAGGAAGGGGGTACTGGGCACATTCAGTTCTATCTCTAGAATCTACAGCCAGAGGCTATAAGGGGGGCAAGGGGAGTATCATCAGTATGCAGTGTCACAATCCAGCTATTAGAGAACCTGAGTAAGAAAATGAGCTAAAGTGACTTAGAGCCACTTGTTAAATAAAAAATAAAAATGTGTGTGCATGGATGTCCTCAGGTATAAAGACAAAGGGCACATAACTACTTGGTGTCCACTCATTTGAGGGCCTGCTGTGCCAAAGCCAAGGTGAACAAGCAGGTGCATTGTAGAAAGCCTCAGAAACCCAGAACCTTAAGGAAAATGAGGCATGTTCTAACCAGCTTACAGAAATTAGGTCATCCAACTGTGGGGGGTGTGCACCTGTAACACAATGACTGAGGACGCTGAATCAGTACCACAAGATCCAGCCAGCCTTGGCAACTTAGCATGACCATGTCTCAAAATAAATAGGACTGGGGATGTGGTAAAGGGCCCTTGGGTTCAGTCTCCAGTACCAAAAAAGGAAAATTAGGCCAAAGACCCAAAATATCTGGGTACATGACATGATTATCATTAATGTAAGAGAGTGTTATCTCTCGTTTAATTTCTTGACTTCTGGAAAGTTTAGACCAGACCTGGTTAGGAGGAATTGAATCCGAGATAGAAGAGGAGATAGGTGTCTGCACCTGAGGAAATGGCCTGCCTCTTACTGTTGCAGAGGGCTTGGGTAGTGCCCAACCTTTATGGCAACACCCCACCTCCAAGTCACAGGGACTGTGGAAAGGACTTGTAAGGTACAGTAGCTTAGAGCAGCTCAGCCCAAGGGCTGGTGTGACTCAGCACAGTTCCTTTGTGAATGTGTCAGGGCAACATCTCTGTCCTGAACGCATCCACTTGTGCATTTATATGGGAACATGTCTTTAATCCTTAATTTCTTCCTGGTTAACTTCCCTTCTCAGTCAGCCTTGCCTTGCTGCTGCTGAGAGATACCAGAAAAATACAGAGAATCTGGCCTTGAACCTCCTCTTTTGCTTGTTTGGCCTTGGGCAAGCCAGTAACTTCTCAGCCATACTTTTCTCAGGTGAAGTGTGGGCCAGGGTGAAGACAAAGTGACGTGAGCCTCTTCTCAGCATCTGCTTTCCCTTGAATGGATGAACTACCCAGACTGCAGAACAGCACTCCTTTGTGCCTCTTAGGATAGAAGACTGTAGTTGTGGCACTCCAGGCTGGTGGAGCCAGGAACCTGCTGGGTGGGGCTGAGGGTTGCTGCAGGGACTGAGGGTCTCTGCTGGAAAACACCTTCAGCCACAAAATTTTAGTTGTTAAAGTTTCGAGAAGAGAAAGGGAGGCCGAGATATGGGGTAGAGGATAAATATATATTTCAGAAGAGAAAATTAGAAGCCACTTGAATTAAGTAAATGATGAAAAAAAAAACTCACTTGCAGGTTAAGGTGAATGCCAAAGCCACAGGATAGGCTAATTTATTTTAAGTATTTGAAAAAATGTCTCAATAGATGCCTTGTAAATAAGCGAGAAAGGCAAAAGGCAAACAGGACAGGACGACAGTGTGGAAGCTGATGGGATCTATACCTGTGCCCTGTGTGCTGAATAATGGATCAAGGTCCACAGGGAATAAGTCTCAGGTGACGATAAAAGGCCTTGTCCTTGCAAGTGAGGTAAAAGCCCACAAGGAAAGCTTACCATCTCCGAGGGACGAATGCTCCCATTCGCAGGATCAGGAATTGAAGAGCTGGGTGGTCCTATGAAAGGAGAGGAGTTCTTTTAGACCCTGAACTGCATAAGACACAGGCCTGGGTGGGAGGTTCGTCTGACGGCATAAGCAGGAAGGACCCAGGACAGTGACCCCTAAACTGCGCATTTCCCATTATGGGAAGTTCATGCTAAAGGCACACTTTAAGCTGCACTGCAGAATTAGTGCCCAGAGAAGGCCCCTTGTTTTGTGTTTAAGGACGCAGTCTAGGAGGCGCGGGTCAAGGGAAACCTTGATGCTCTTACCTTCGAGACCCCGGGCTCCTCCGCTGCTTTTCCGGCTAGCTGAAGTCACCTGTGCAAAGGCGGAGGCGCACGCTTCACCAACCTCCGGAAGGGGGCGGTGGAACTGAAAAGCGCGAGTACATGGCAATTTGTATCCTTCCCTCCTGAGCTTTCAGCGTTGGCGTCCTTGGTTGTCGCGTTCACCCTTTTCTCCCTCTCAACGTGATGTCATCAACTCAACAGAAGCCCTTGGCCATCACTTCCCATCCCGGGTCCGAGCGCGATCCGGAAGCCCGGGTCCGGCTGGGCGGACGCCCCGGCGTTGCCTGGCAACGGGGTCGCGAAGGATTGGTCGCGTTGGGACACATGACCCGAGGACCGACACTTCCGGCACTCCCGGAAGTGTCGTGCGCGGCGTGGGCGCCAGGCTCCGCCCCCAGCAGAGGCGGAAGTGGAGCCGCCCGAGTCTTGCCGCGTTGCCGCCGGTTCCAGGGTCCATGGCCGCCTACTCCTATCGCCCTGGCCCGGGTTCCGGCCCGGGCCCAGCTGCGGGCGCGGCGTTGCCGGACCAGAGCTTCCTGTGGAACGTCTTCCAGCGGTGAGACGGGGCCGCCCGGGCTTCTTTCTTCAGCCTCCTCCCTCACCTTCCTCGCCCTCCTCCCTCGACCTGCCCGGACTCCTCTCCTGTCACCCCCTCCTCCTTCGCCGTCCTCCCCGGCGCCTCTCCCTCCTCGCCCCTCCGGGTGCGCTGGGCCCGTCACGAGATGCAGAGCAGAGGGCGCAGGGCGCTCCTGCTCGGTTCGAGGAAGGCAGTAACAGGCCAGACCCTGCGCTGTGGAAGAGGGTAGCAGCCCAGCAAGGGCAGGTAGACCTGCGTCCCTGGGGCAGGTGACGGTTGGCAGCGTCCTAAGTCCCAGTTGTCCTTTTGAACAAATGACCGTAATTCGAGTGACTCATTGCCTAGGAATGATTTGACTGCCCCAGAGAATCTTTCAGCGTTTGTGAAAGACAAACTGGTGCAGGTGTGAATTCAGACCCGGAGGCCTGACCCTTAGGGTCTTGGGGAAAACTTCTTAATCCCCCGAGGGCATGTGGTATGTGACATTCTGACAGCCAAGTGAGAGGTCTACCTGAGGAATGTCCCAGAACTAAAGTAAGGTAATGGGACAGATAGTTTGTTTCTGCCATATTTTGCTTTTCCTGCACATTTCATCACCAACTTTCCTGGTCTTCTTGATTTTGTAGAGTTGATAAAGACAGGAGTGGGGTGATATCGGACAGTGAGCTTCAGCAGGCGCTATCCAATGGTGAGTCGAAGCCTAATCCTCTCACAGTAAGCAATTTCCCTTCTGGAATTTATTTTTCCAAGTACAGAGGAGTCATTCAGACTGAATTACTATAACCTAAACATGGAAGAGGTGTTTCTGACTTGCCAGTTGGTGGCTTCCTGATTTTTATCACCGCTTCTGCTCCGCACACCACCGAGTTGATGCAGGGGAGCATAGAGACAGGCTTTCTGGAAACAGCAGCCAGGGTGTCGCTTCTGAGTGAGGGGTGGGAAGTGTAGCTTTGTGCAACAGAAATCCTTCAGGTGTCTTGAAGGTCCTTGAATGTTCTCAGAATCTTAGTGACTCCTCTGGAAAGGGTCATCGAGAGTACTAGGTAATTATTGAAGAATTTGGAGRTGGTCTACATAGCACTTTTGCTTAGGAACTGCTGAAACTCTAGGCCCAAATTTGGAAGGGAAGAAATTGGAGGTACTGGCAGCAGAATCATGACAGATGTTCTTAACTGTGTGGGGAATACTATGCATTTAGGGGCTGGGAGGGTGGTGGCCCTTGTATAGGGTGTGTTGGGAACTCTGTGGAGTCATTCTTGATGACTGAAGTGTGGTAGCTTTGGAGGCATTTTTCTTTGTTAAATGCCTTTCATAATTCCTCAGATATGGCCAACTTTTCTGATCAATATAGTTAAGGCTTGCTGTTATGGTTTAGATTTGGAATGTCCCCCAAAAGCTCATGTGTTAGTGCAGCAAATGTTCAGAGGTGCAATGATTGGATCATGAAGGCTGTGACCTCATCAATGCATTAATCCATGTGATGAATTAATAATTGGAATGGATTCCTGGGTGATGGTAAAAACTATAGGCAGGTGGGGTGTAGCTGAAGGAAATAGGGTGCTGGTGTTATGCCCTTCCCCACATCTGTCCCTGACCCTATCCTATCTCTCTTTGCTTCCCCTCTGCTATGAGCTGAGCGACTTTCCTCCACCATGCATTTTCACATGATACTCTGCCTTATCTCAGACCCATAGCAATGGAGTCAGTCAACCATGGATTATAAACCTCTGAAACTTTCAGCCAAAATAAACCTTTCCTACCCTAAGTTGTTCTTCCTGGTAGGTGTTTTGGTCACTGGTAACTAATACACTTGTCTTTCCAGAGGCATATAATTTAAGCTGGGTAAAGGAACAGTTTTAAGGTGTGACAAAAATGTCAAAAGGTCTGGCTTTGTTAGTAGGAAGCACTTCAGTGTTGTAGTTGGTTGGATGAGGGAGTGGGCAACACTAGGCTGCTGGACACTGCCTGGCAGCATTGAGGAGAAGCTCTTGCCACTGGCATGTGTCCGGTATTTAGTGTTCATTTCTGAGAACATGGGTTTCAGTGTGACACACTTACCTCAGAATGGCAGATGCCATAGACACCATTCCCCTGCATCCAGCCTATGTGGACCTCAGGCACTAGGTTATCATTTCACACATGTTTATTTAGATTGTTTGGGCAGCCGGATTGCATTATCTCCGCCCTGACTATTGTGCTTATTGATTTTTCCTCTTCTCTGGTCATCATTAACCGCTTTCAACTGTGTTTGATGTCTCCAGTGCTCCTTCTACTCTGAGGAGAAGCAAGGCAGGGTTACTACTAGAAAGGCCTCAAGAGCATCTGCTATCTAGCAGGCCACACTTTAGCACATCTTGGCCTCAGACTTTCCAAGTGAGGAATGGATGGTTTTCTTCACATCATGCTGTGCATGTGTGGTGGAAGGCCATATGAGCCCTATTGAGGCGTGCATCAGAGACGACACTTTTTGTGGCCTCTTTACCAGGACTGGTAAAGGTTTATGGTCTCTTTTGTGTCTCTTTGTTTGTCCGTTCCAGAGTACTGACCAAGATACAAGATCAGTTTAGATCTTGTRTCTTGTGTGAACCTTTCACAGGTGTTGTTCACCCTCACTAGCAGGACAGCCTGTCTGCCCTGGAGGGCTCAGTTGGGCCCTGGTGCTGCCAGGATCCACATCTTGCTCTCCCTGTTTCAGTAGTGTGAAGTTGAACAAGTATTTAACCTGCCAGCRTCAGTGTCCTCACAGCCTCTGGGAGAGCAAATCGAGGAAATACAGTCAAAGTGCCTCCCTCATGCTTGGAGACAAGAGCCAGCTGGAGTGTCAGTGGGTGCCACCACAGGACAGTGGCTGTGTCTCTACTGCCACTATTGGCTTAGGAGCCAGCTCCAGTGGTGATGGACAACAGAGCTACTGCAAGGGCTACCGCAGGGAGGGCTATGGCCATGGGGCATGCAGCAGCACAGAGCAGGTATTCTCTGGCCCTGTGAAACAGCTTGCYGCAGACTGTCCTGAGGGTAGTATGTGTTTTTTATTTTTTATTTCCACATTATTTCTTGGGATAATGAGAAATGAATTTTTCTCAAGCCCATTTTTTTGTGCTTTTGAAATAAGTTTGCCTTAATATGACATTGTTATAATTTGAAGGAGCACTTTTTAACTACTTAGAAAAAAAAAAAAAMWWAMCTTCTTTTAAGGACATTTTACCAAATAGCTTTCTAGTTCATCCTAAAAGAATTGAGATAATTTAGACCATACAAGCAGCAATTTCCTATAGAATAATTATCCATTCATATCACCGTTCTTCTCCAACAGAGGTCCCATTTCATGGGTGATGGAACAGAGGTCTACCTGTGCTTTGATCCCTGGGTAGGTAGGGTCAGCTCAGCAGACAGGCTACCCATGTTCCTAAGAAGAGCCTGTTGGGTGACTGGCCCTCATCTGTCTCCTGGGAACTGAGCTCCTAGAATGTTTGGGAAGAGTGCTTTGTCTCGCCAAGATCTGTGAACTGAGCTGTGCCTCTTGGCCTGGGTGATTTGTACCAGGTTGCGATTTGTGGCAAACACCTGCTTTTATCTCTAGGCAAATGGAGCTCAGTGACTGGCCCCAGGTAAGCCCTGAACCCCCAGGAGTATGTTCTGTTCATGTTGAATAGAATTTTTATGTTTTTTTTTATCACCAGTTTTTCTACTCAAATATTTACTCAAGGACCTTATTCTGTAACMCAGTGTGTGGAGGCCTATTCATGTATTCAAATATATCTGATTTGGGTATAAAATTTTTTAATGGGATTTTCTCTTTTAGACTCATCCAGGATGGTCAGAATTAATTATTGTCTTATATTTAAGGCAATCTCTTTGCAGATTTCCAAGTAGATCATAATGGAACTACTTGTTAATTCTGTCTCCTTGGAGAAAGATCAAGTGCCCTGGATAGTGTCCTTGACAGTGGTCCTGTGGCAGCTCTCACAGGTGCAGTTGAGCAGGCTCTGGCTAGACTCTGGAGGCTCACATCTGGGTTCCCATCCACTTTTCCCTTGCTGCTTTTACTGTGTCTCCTCTGTAAGAAGCTGTGACCATGTGTCTTATCTTAGAGAGTTGGTCAGCTGTGTCTATGATCCCCAGAAACACTCTCAGCCAGAACTTCAGAGAGTTAGCGTCCAGCTTGGTGGTCATAAATAGCTTGCATGTCTGGCAGGACATGGGATATTGCCCACTCAGTGCTTAGGCTTCTCCTAGTTGTGACAACGGGAAGATCTTATGGTGCTCCTGAAGCCAGGTGCTTGCTGAGAACCTCTTTAGGGGTAGGGGGAAGGCACTGGTTTAATTGTTGCTATGTTTGTTTACAGGCACATGGACCCCGTTTAACCCAGTGACTGTCAGGTCAATCATTTGTAAGTATTGCAGACAAGCTCCCCTGGGAACTGCCTAGATAAGCTTGTGCTTTCTGGAGTCTACTCAGGAGGTGCTGGCCCTTGTGTGCCACATCCTGCCTCTGGACTTCTCACCTCTGTGTTTACAGCTTTCACAGTTTTTACTTTTAATTTACGGTTTAACTGGCATTTTCAATTTTTGAATTCTAAAGGTAGTATGTGTATAAAATTTTTAAAGTTATTATATAGTTAATTTTTTATTATAATGAATTTTTAAAGTTATTATATAGTTATTAATAGTTAATTTTGATAGTCTCTTATTGCTGGTTTTTATGATTCTCTCTTTTATTTCTTTGAATATTGTATGTTATGGTCTCTTACATTTTAAATAAATGTTTTTATTGGAGAATTAAGTATTTGCCAGGCATGGTAGCACACATCTATAACTCCAGCTGCTCAAGAGACTGAAGCAGGAGGATTGCAAGTTTGAGGCCAGCCTGGACAAGTTTGCAAGACTTGGCTTAACTATAAAAAGGGTTGGGGGTGAAGCTCAGTGGTAGAATACTTACTTGGCATGCTCAAGGCCCTGGGTTCAGTCCCCAGCACTGTGAGAGGGGGTTACTTGTTAAACTTGTCTACTTCACCATGTGTTCCTGACACTCCTGAATCCTTGAGAAGGTGATCCATGTCTGACTGTTATTCCTGCTGAACCTCATGCATGGCTAATTTCCTTAGTATTTTAGTATTTTTATTTGCTTTGTGGGTTCGTGTGTGGCTGAACTCAATGTGTGCAAACCAGGCTTGATCTGGGAAAACATCCTCCAGAAAAAAATTCATATTTCTGCAGCCAGGGTGTGGGTTTCTCAGTTTGAGTCTCCCTTGCTACAGAACTTGAGCTCCAGATCCAAGAGGGAAGGGTTCCCTGTCACATAGTCTCAGGGAAAGTTCACTGTTCCACCAGTTTCTGGAAGATTTCCTGTTCTGAGAGATGATTTTTTTTTCTATCCTACTCTTCCAAAGATGTAGTTCCTTTCCTGGTTGCCTTTGACATGGAACCTTGGGTCCTGTGCCTCTCCTTCTGGGTTCCTCTCTGTCTGTGAGCTTAGTGCTGTATTGCAGGGTGTGTGGTGTAAGCCACAGGCACTGCATCTTTTTTTGTAAAGACATTGAGGTAACACATGGATGTGCTGGCAGGGATGCAGCCTTCCGCACCAGGAAAGATGTCGATGGAGCAGGGGATGGGGCATGTGCACTTCCCTGCCAGAGGCTGGCCTGGAAGCTGCTGTTCTGCTCAGCCTCACTGGGTGGCTTTCATTGTCATTGCCCAGGTACAGAAGCAGGCTGGAGTGGCACTCACCAGCATGTCGATACCACACCTCTTTACAGTCCACGCTTGAGGCCGTGATGTTAAAAACAGCCCATCGTTACAAACGTGCTTCTGCGCTGTGTGGAGGAATCTGAATGCTCAGTCCTCACATGTTCTTTGATGATGGGATGTGCTACTGACCTGGAATGGACTTCTATATGATCCAGGAGCATTCTTCCTATAGTCTGGCCTTAGTCTCCTAAAATAACAGGCAATTTTATCATTTTCTCTACAGCAGCACTCCAGACTGACTTGTTTTATTTGTTAGCCATTTTGCAGTAACATGTAATTGTATTCAGTGATTCTTATTATCTGGACCTGGAATTACACTGATTTTTTTTTTTTTAATGAAAAATGTGGACTTATTTTTTTAAAAAATTAAATCCTAATGGGAGAGTAGGCTAGGTCTCTTTTTAACTAGAATAGATTCCCCTTGTCCCTGGAGGACTGTTTCTAGCTCCTGAGGGGTGGCAGAGTTTACTCCCTCCTGGGACTGGGAGTCAGGAGCAGGGGCTCCTGGACCTCTGCACCTTGGTGACCTCAGGTGAGGCGAGCACAAGCAGAGAGTCTGCTTTCCAGAGCCTACTTCAGTGGAAAGTGTTGTTTTGACTTTTACTGTGATTCCACCCACGGTCTGCCACACAGCTTTGTCTGCGTATTATTATTCTGGGACCAGGGCTGGGTGACTGTCCCATAGGCCTCCACCAGGCAGGGCCCCATTCAGCCAAGTCCTGTTTGTGAGCTAGCACACGGTGATCTGCAGGCTGGCCCCATGCTGGCGTTCTGAAGGACAGCTCAGAGACCTGCCTGACACCGTTCCTCTGTCTCAGTACTGATACTCTGTCCCTCTGCCTTAGCTATGTTTGACCGGGAGAACAAGGCTGGCGTGAACTTCAGCGAATTCACAGGCGTGTGGAAGTACATCACAGACTGGCAGAATGTCTTCCGCACCTATGACAGGGACAACTCTGGAATGATCGACAAGAACGAGCTCAAGCAAGCACTCTCAGGTTTTGGTAATTCACTTGTCTTGATTGTGTAGCATATTTCATTTTGGAACCTAGGAGCCCCTGAATTTTATTTTACTTTGTTCAACTTACAGATTTTTAACCCAGTCCATGTGAAATTTCTGTTTATGTTACATTGTACAGTGTCATATTTTGATACTATTTATTGTATATATTTGACATGCAGTCTTTTGTTCAGTTTTTCATCCAAAATGAGATAAGGGCTATGCAAACCTCCAGTTTTTTTCCTATGGGGTGATTTGATGAACAAAATTGAGAATGGGGCTTTTGAAACAATTTCAAGTGGAAGTGATAAAGTGGTGTGGGACAGTTTATGCTTCCTGATGCATCAAAACACACAATGATAAAATGACCCTAAGAGGCAATTCTGTAAGTTATCAGCTCTAACTCTCAGTCCTTCCAAACTGTGCCTCAATGGAGAGTTAGAGCACGTACCCATTCTCAAACGCCTGTGTGTCTATGTGGCATGTGTCCACATGTGCATACRCCTGTTGTGTGCAGGTATGTGACAGCATGCCATGCTTCTCTTGAGTGTTCAGAGTACTTGTCCAGAGCTCACCCAAGGGTTCCAGAACTGATCTTGGGCCTGAAGGGAAGCTGCGATTTTTCTTACAAAGAAAACACCAAGCTGTTTGGGACCAGCCCACAGCTGCTCATAGTTCCACCTAGACTCATCTAGAGCAATTTTGCTTAGTGCTGTCATCTGATCTGTGTTACCAAACTCTTCTGTGCTTACTGAAAAGTTGCTTACAAGTGCTCTTTAGGAAAAATATGAAAGATTAGACCACAGTCCACAGTGCTGTGCTGTTGGAGTCTTGTGATGCTCAAGTTCGGTATTTCCTGTGGTTGCTAACATGGCTCTTGCACCTCTCCCCACTTCTTCTCCCAGCATGTGGCTCATGGCCATCTCCTCCTCCTCTCCCTTCTCACCTCATGAACTTGTCCACAGGGCTGATTTTAGGAAAGATATTGAGAACTCACCGGTTGTGAGGCAGGATTTGGACAGGACAACTCTGAGTTAGAATTTGGAATACACACAATCTTGTTGCATCTTTGTGTGGGGATCCTGGTGAGGTCCTGGCTGGCCTGTCTCCTGGCGTGGTGGAAGAAGGATCTCCAGGCAGAATGGCCGCATGGCTTAGAGAGCGCCAGTGAAGGCCCAGGAGGCCCAGTACAGCCCAGTGGGACAAGTGCCACATGGCGCTGGGGACAAAGCTGGGCCCATGTGCAGTCTCAGTACCACAGAATGTCAGCCTGCCCCACATCTGAGGCCTTGGAGCTTGTGCTTAGCACAGTGACCACTGGGTCATTGGAACTCAGTGGAAACATTGATGTGGATGGTGCTCCTCCGCCTCTCAGACTCTCTGTGACCTGTTCAAGCCAAGGATGCTTTAGAACCTCTGTTTCTGTAGTCGTGGTGAGGGTGTGGCTGGTCAGGAGCACAGGCTGCCTCAGAGGCAGACCCAGAGTCCTCTGGCTTCCCGGGTGCTTTCTGGAGGAGCAGTGTCTTGTGTAGTACCTCTCTGGTGGTCCTGCCAGATTTCTTCTTGAGTTTGGTTTCTGGTTTTCCAGGGTTGTCCCCCCTTGTCTTCCATGAAAAGGAACATGGTCATCTTGTTTGCACAAGTCTGAGGCTCGTGTCCCTGCATCCCTTGTTCTGCAGCTGGAGTAGGTGGATACCTGCCTAGGAGGTCAGTTACTTTGGAAGATTTTTGGTTATAACTGTTAAGATTTGGCCTTAGAAGCAAAAATTCCTGCTCTGTTTTGACTCCTGAGAATGGGTGTGTTGCTCTCAGGTAACAGAGCAGCTCAACAGTGGGCGTCTCAGACTAGCCCAGGTGGCATTGTGTGACCCTGATAGGACCACTCAGTGGATCTGATGACCCTTTCCCTGTGTATTTAAACTTGTTAACATGGCCAGGTGTGGGCATGACACCTTCCCCAGTGTGGCTGCTGGCAGGCTCTTCAGGTGCAACGTGATTGTTGCTGACTTGAAGTTTGGCTTACCTACGCTAAGCTGTCCCTTCTGGTGGGCAGTGCATTCAGAACCCCTGCTCCCCCAGGATTCCCCTGGGCTCCCCTCCCCCACCCTGCCTCTGGCAACTTCTGCAGTTTAGTTTTTTATAATGAAAACTGTGGAAGTATAATCCACCTCCACTTTTCCGTCACTCATTTTCAATCTCTTCTCTGCATTTGCTCCTCCCCTTTGTGGCTGAAGCTTTCTGAGCAAGTTCGAGGCTCGTGTCCCCTGCATCCCTCGTTCTGCAGCTGGATTAGGTGGATACCTGCCTAGGAGGTCAGTGTGAGCAGTTCATCTTACGAGGTTAACAGCGTTTTTATGACCGTTGTGCCTGACCAGCAGCCCCATCTCCTTTCTCATGGCGTCGTCTGGTTGGTGCCATACAGGCCACCGATGGTTTAACTTTCCYCCTATTTCCTTGTCCACTGGTGATCACTGCTGTCTGTCCAGTTTCTCCCAGGTCATGTTGTGACTGCAGTGGTGCCATGCTATTCCTGGTGGTGGGGCTCATGATGGGCAGGGGACTCTGGACTGGTGCTGACCATCTGACCCACAGGCTGCATGGCCTGGACCAGGAGTGTCCACTGGGCAGTTTCTGGTGGTATCTTCCTCATGTTAGTTCCTGGGTTGCTGCATCACCAAAGGCTATTTGGAAGTAGACACGGGAGGCATATTCCTATCCCCTCTCCAGGAGGCCACTATTGCCTTGGGGGCGCTAGGAGAGTGGGCTTGGCAGAGGTGAGAAGGACTGCCTCACTCAGACCCTGCAGCCCCTGCTTCACCCGGTCTGTCCAGAGAGGGTCCAGACTTCCCAGTGGTGTGCCCCATTGGTATGGAATTGTCCTCTTGCTGCTTCTCATAGGCTGGGAGGCCTCAGGTGACCTTGCCCTTTTGGGTGGGGGCAGCTTAGCTGGAACTGGAATGGATGATGTATGTTGCAGTCAGAGCAATTTGGTTCAAGAGCAGTATTTCCAGAGTCAGCCCTCATCCTGTGGAGAGAAGGTACTCCCCAGGTGGGTCTGCAAGGTGGCCTTTGCCCCCACGTCTTGCTGGCCAGGCCTGACTGGGTTGTGGCCATGTGCAGAGTGCCTCCTGGCTCCCACACAACCAGGTTTGTCCTCCAGTTGAGCCTTTTTTCCTGGTCTTTCTGTTCATTGCTTGCTTTTCCCATCTTTCTCTGTTCTTGCTTTCCCTGCAAGAGCGCCAGAGACTTGGAGTTGATTCCAGGATCTGTGGAGTTGTTTCTGGAAATTCAATGTTCAGACTGGAAATTCTGTATCTTTGTTCCCATCTCATTGGGCTTCCCCAGCCCTGGCAGGAAATCAGCAATGGCTCTTGTCACCCCATCCACAYCCTGAATCTGCAGTGCCCTGTGGCTGTGTTCCAGGCTCCATCCTCATCAGGTCAGGGCTCAGCCAGGGTGCTGCCTCACCTGCCAGGTACTTGATAGGTGTAAGGAGATGAGTGCAACTGTTCCCTACTTGCTCTCTTTCTGATGACAGTTGGGGGTCCCACTCAACCTGCAGGGACTCATTTAGTGGTCCTGTACTTAAATCCCAGCTCCCCCTGAGTGCTCTGGAAGGTACTATGAACATGTTTGTGTGTTTTGAGTCTTTATAGTGAAATGATGAATAAGTGTTCATACAGGTAATTAACTGTGAGATTCAATCAGACAATAGGTGTGCATATCCTTGCAAAGACCCCAACAAGACTGAAAACCGGTAAAAATATATTGGCACCTGGATCTTGTCTCCTGAATCAGTAAGGATACCATGGCCACACAGGTAGTGGGGGTGAGGGAAGGAATCAGGTGAGCTGCAGGTAGTAGGGGGTAAAGAAGGAAGCATGTGGGCTGTGTCCTCCTGTGCCTCCGTCTACATCCGTCCTTCAGACCCTCTCTCCACTGGAGACCTTCTCCAAACATGCTCAGTAAATTGGAGAGGAATCAGGGCTCAGTGACCCTGGGGATTTTGAACTTGGTGACGCCGACTTTCCTTGTGTCCTCAGTTCCCTGATGTCATGTGCCCTGTCATTCCCCTTTCCTCATGTCTTCATTTGTTTCACTGGAACTCTCTGTGGTATTTTAGCTCTCGGAGCACTCTCTGGTAATAAGCAGCCAGGGCAGCACGTCCTTCGGGGCTTCGATAGATTGGCAGACTAGTGAGGTGCTCCAGGGGCTCGGGTTGCCGTGCCTGGCTGCCCTGTGGGGAGGGTGCAGTTAGCCAGCAGATGCTTGTGCTCAGGAGAACAATAGGTTGTCCTACAGGGAGAGGGCACTGGTCTCTAGGTAAGTCACGTCGTAGTCCTGGAAACTAAACAAGTTTTGGAATGATTGGTCAGGCAGTGTCTTTCAGCTCTCAGAGTGCATTGAATGGAGTGGCAGTTTTTGCTGTGGGGAGGCTGGCGAGTAGGCAGGGCGCGTGAGCATTGGTGCATTCCTCCCACCTCATCTGCCCATCTTGACTCTGACCTTTCCTCTCCCAGGCTACCGGCTCTCTGACCAGTTCCACGACATCCTCATTCGGAAATTTGACAGACAAGGACGAGGGCAGATTGCCTTTGATGACTTCATCCAGGGCTGCATTGTCTTACAGGTGACAGAGTGGCTCTGTGGGGGCTGGGCAGGAGCAGGGAAGGGTTCACACCAGAGCAGGATACTTGGCCTTACATGAAATATATAAGGCATGTATAGGAGTTTCTTTTTGCTTTTTTGTTTTGGGAGTTTTTTTTTTTTTTTTTTTTTTTTTTAAGCATCATATTTATTTATAGTAGTTGGGTTCATTTTGACAAAATCACGCATGCATGGAATTTGATGAACTCCATTTCAGTCCTCTTTCCCTCTTCCCCCAGTTGGAGTCCAGACTGAGGGCACTCCTTGCTGACTCTGGAATCATTGAGAGGCATTGATGACATTGGGGTTTTAGACATAATGTAGAATTTTGGTAATTGTTCTTAATTTTTTTTTTCCCATTAAATGATAGATCAGTTAAAGTGTGTTGCCTTTGGTCAGCTAAGCACAGCCTCCAGGTTCTTTAACAGGTTCTCACTGAGGATTGGAGAAAGGTCTGCCGGCTCTCATGCCTCTGGTCTTGGAGGGGGAAAGCCTTGCCTTTGCCTGCTGCTCAGTGTTCCCTAATGTTGGGTTGTGCTTCCCATGTCCTGTGAACATCCAAGAAAGAGGTGCAATGTGAGCTGTCCTTTTGGACTCTTTGAAGTGCTATGGGGTCAGGGTTTTAATTTGTTCTGTAAGTCAACATCTGGCCCTTCTGCTGCCTTGGTGAAGGTCTCCTTTGGGTTCTCAGCAACAGGGGTCCCACTAGGACCCCGGCCCACTAGGAGTTTTCTGCCCCCAGACCCGTGTCCTGTAGCTCTGGGGGATGTTGTCAGTTCTGGGTCAACACTCACCCCGGAATGTTAGAAGGGGAGAACCTAAAAGCAAAAGCCATGTCCCATATGTAAAAATTTTATCAGAATGATTTCTTTCATCTGCTTTTTTTTTTTTTTTTTTTTTTTTTTTTTTTTTTTAAGGCTTTTGAGGGCTGGGGATATAGCACAGTGGTGGAGTGCTTGCCCAGCATGCATAAGGCCCTGGGTTTTATCCCCAGCACTGCAAAAAAAAGAGTTTTTTGAAAATTAATTTAAAAAAAAATACAACATGAAAACTTATAGAAATCTTAAAATACAAATAAAATTAAAAGGAAAATTACCTGTGTTTTTTGCATTTTGTTTTGTTGGGCAGTGCTGGGATGGAACCCAGGGCCTGAAACACGCTAGGCAGGTGCTCTGCCTCTCAGTTACAGGCCCAGGCTTCCCATTGTTCAGTCAGAGTTAGCTGTTGCTGTTCTCTTGTACTGACAAACATCATGAAACAGAGAGGCATGTTCTGAGCAGTACACCATTGGGAGGGCAGAGCCTGCTGCACACCTAGGCTAGGTAGGTTAGCCACTGTGGCAGTCAGCTTTCTTTTATGTAACAAATATCTGAGATAAACCCACTTAAGAGGAAAGGTTTGTTTTTGCTTATAGTTTTGGAGGACTCAGGCCTTGTCTGCTTGTCTCTGTGGCTTTTGGGACTATGGGGAGGCAAGAGTGCATGGCAGAGGAATTATTTTGTGATAGCTGTGAAGCAAATGCAAGGGAAGGCAGGACTGGTATCCCCATGTCCCCTGCAAGGGGACACCCCCAATCAACCCATTTCCTCCCACTGGGCCCTATCTCCTGAAGGTTCCATCACCTCCCCGTCTTGCCATGCCTGGGGATCAAGCCTTCAACACATGGACCTTTGTGAGACACTGGGTCCAAATTGTACCTATTACCAACTCGGAGGACTGTGGCAGGAAGACCACAAGTTCAAGGCCAGCCTGGCAACTTAGCAAGGCCCAGTCTCAACATAAAATAAGGACTGGGACGTGCTTCACATTAGAGCACTCGCCTAGCATGTGTGCGGCCCTGGGTTCAGTTCTTAGGGCCACAGAACAGAAAAGAACCAAAGCAGCGTGGCCCTGGCCACATGTTGCACGCTGTTGACTGGAACCACCTGGTAGTGCATGACTGTCACTTGTGTTGTGCTAGCAGTTCTCACATAGGAACTCGCAGTGGCTGACCCTCAGGGTGCTGGGGTTGTCGGGTTCTTTTGTCTACAGAATTCCCTTGTGCCTGTTTGTCTTGTCCTTGGCATTCTTTAGAGTGTGTCTGGGCTGCTGAGTCCACCTCTTTAGTGGCACTCTCAGCCTCTCTTCAGGGTTGAGCGGTTGTCCCTCTGCTTCTGGCTGGCCTGGGCCCTCGGGCTGTTGGAGGGCAGGGGCAAGTCAAGCAGGAGGTGGGGGGGTTAGAGGGGCTGGCCGTCCCCTGCTGGGCTTGTTTTCCRGGGTAAGAGCCCGTATTAGGACTGTCTTCCCTGGCCCAGTTCCCCACCAAGATGAGCCCTCGGGAGGAGCCACCCATGGGGATGCTTCTAAACTTTGACAAGCCCATGACCTAGAGTGGGAGGAAGTACCCATTTGGAGTCTAGTGGGGCCAGGCCTGCCCTACCCTTCATCCCATGTCCTCAGGCTCCACTGCCCCGTAGACAGTGCTGAGGYTGCTTCTACCTGTGCCTCTGGCATGGGTGTCCATCACCCATGTCCCTCTCAGGGATGAGGGACATGTGATTCTGAGGTTGTGTTTCCAGATGTCCCATTTTGTCCTTCTGTTCAGCACACACCAAGCTCTAAATGCCTGTTCTTTTCCCAGAGGTTGACGGACATATTCAGACGTTACGACACGGATCAAGATGGCTGGATTCAGGTGTCCTATGAGCAGTATCTCTCCATGGTCTTCAGCATTGTGTAAGGCACGCCTTGTGGACAGCAGCACATCATATGAGAAAAGACTGACAATGCCAAACTCCTTCCCTGTAACAAGTGGGGACCCAGATGCACTTAGATGCTGCTCTTCACACTTGGGGACCTGGCTGTACCTATGTGGATAAGCTGACTACGGCTTTGCAGTCGCAGCAGCCACCATGTCAACATAAGAAACACTGGGTTGGCTGGCCTGCTAATTGTGCCATGAGGCGAAACCTAATAATGGTTCAGGTATTCTGCTCCCAAAATGCATCATGTACTTTCCTCAATCTCCAGTTCTGTAGTGGAAATGCTTTTATCAGCCAATAGAATTTTTAAGTGAAATGAACTTGCACAGAGGCTTTCACGTGCCTTACTTTTCTAAAAGGAGTTTATTGTATTCATTGGAACAGGCAACATAAGCAATAAAGTAAAGGTACAGACTCAAGGCCTACTTGTAGCTCCTCATCAAACAGGGAAGAAATGTGCCCACATCCCCAGCATCCATCATCCTAGACACACTCACGTGCCTGAAGCTGCCTCTGATGGGACCAGCAGGACAGGCATGAGACAGGGAGACGAGGTGTCCCACAGAGGTGAGGCCACTCCCAGCGGCCCCATGCCAACTGGGGGACTTAGGCCCTTCACCTGTGAGCTTTGCCTGAAGGAGATGGGTGGTGTAGTCAGACTTGTGGGGAGGACGTGAGGACATTTGGTGCCACCGATGAGAAACTGGGTGTCCATGGGGTCCACTGGGGCCTGTGCTGGCCTAGGAGGGGACCTGGAGGGTGAGGGTTTCTTGTCTGTGGTATCTAGTTGTTGGGATCATTAGGGGCTGTGGTGGCAGAGTGGCATTGTAGATGTCACTAGCCAAGGGGCCTGTGGGGAATATGAAAATTTTTACTCACATCCATGATGGTTGCCTCCTGGATATTGACAAGCTGTGACCCAGACCAGCAGCTGACCCCACCCCGGTCCAGTGAGGTCAACTTTCACACCTCAGACCCATGAGTTCAGTGTGCATTGCCCCCTTCTTTGTTTCATGGGCACCTGACTACCATCTAGTTAAAGCCCCAGTCTCTCCACTTCCTCCAGGGTCCCAGCCCTACTGCCTTGCTACTGGAGGAGCCTGTGGAGGGTGCTCCCCGTCTCAGCCCCACAGGCCCCGTGATCAGCCTGCTCGGCCTCATCTCCCTGCTCTTATGCCTGAGTACAGCTCCACCACACACCTGAGAGTCCCTGTGCTGCACACCTGAGAATGGCTGGGGTAGAGTGTTCAGCCAGTGGAGATGGTGGCAAGTGGCCTGGGAACTGAGGTGGGGCATCCACCACTGTTCCCTGGAAGTCCTGGGAAGGCAGGGGCTTACAGAGCCTACCTGAAGTGCAGTAGGGCCCCCAGCCCCACCCACCCYCTGCATACCCCTGAGCAGGCTCCTGGTGGGGTCTGAGCAGTAAGAATCAGGACACCTGGGAAACGCGCCCAGTAAAATGCATCGCTGGCCGCCTCCTGCAGCACCCTCACAGCCAGTGGGACACCTACAGCCTTGGGCCACGTGGGGGCAGTATGGTCATGCCACAGAGGACCTGCCAGCTGCTGGGAGGGTGTTCACGGCAGCTGCAGAGGCTGAGGGCTGTTAGCCTCCCCCAGTGCCAGGGTGGCTATGGGATGTGGCCAGGACGCTCTCGGCAGCTCGCTCTCCCGTTGTCCACTCAACTGGTCATCAGGATGGCATGAGTGTGGGTGGATGGAGTGAGCCAGGGACAGTAATGGACAAGGCACTGGCCTGGAGAGGCCAGGCCTGCTGAGACCTGCAGCAAGTCCTCTCCAGTGTCCTCAAGACCAGACACCCTCCTGCCATGGATGATATGTACATGGGTTGGCACCTTGTCTGAGCACAGAAATGAAGAAACCAACCACTCTCCACCCTGGAGTTCCCACCAGACTTCAGAGGGCCCTTCCTGAGGGAAACAGTTCAAATAAAGCTAAGGCTGTCCCTCCTGTGCCATCACCTGGTCACCCCGGAGCCCACTATCCAGATAGAGATGGTGTTAGCAGGTGCAGGGAGGGGAACCGGGGTCAGAATGGGGAGATAAGGGATCCTGTCTCCCTGCCATGGGCTCATGCCAGATTCTTCGAGCTTCCACATCCTCTGACAACCAGGGGCCTCCCTGCTGCCTGGAGGGTGAGTAGCAAGGTCAGAGTTTGTCATCAGGGACCCTTTACCCTACGTGGCCTGACGACCCGAAGGTCAAGGGCCAGCCACACTCCTGGCTTCTCGACATTAAGTGCAGCTCATGAGTTCACGTTGGCTCTCATGTGCCAGTGCATGTGACATTATCTGACTGGTGTCTGATTCCTCAGAGGCTCAGGAGGCTGCCCCTTGTGGCTCTGAGAGGCAGAGCCTGCCTGGTGGACGGGTTGGTAAGGGGATCCTTGCCTATTTGCATGTGTCTGGTACACATGAAGTTCATCATGCTTACCATTTCTGAGTACACAATCCAGTGGCATTAAGGATGTTCACTTTGCTGTGACTATTGTCACCCGCCATCCCCAGAACTTTCCATCTTCCAAAACTGAAGCTCTGCCTGTATTAAATACCAGCTCCCTTCTCCTCCTCCCCTAATCTTGAAAACCCCTTCCACCTCTATGAATCCAACGAGTGGAACTTTATAGCTCTTGTCCTGTTCAGGTGTACTTCCCTGAGCATAATGTCCTCCAGCTTCTCCCAAATTGTTTCAGGTGTCAGAATGTCCTTCCTTTTCAAGGCCAAGTAAATCAAGAAGGTGTGACGGCTTGTTATGCGGTCATCTATCAGTGGAAATGTGCAACCAAACCCAGGGGTCACTGAGCCACATCCCCAGATCTTTTTATCTTTACTTTGAGACAGGGTCTCACTAAGCTGCCCTGGCTGGGCTGGTGCTTGGATCCTCCTGAGTCTGGGATCACAGCATGGCCATGGTGCCTGGCACAGTCATTCTACCTTTAATTTTTGGAGAAACTGCCCCACTGTTTCCACAGAAGCTGCACCTTTTACATTGCTGCCAACAGTGTTCAAGTGTTCCAGTTTCCCTGCATCGTGGCCAACACAAACTTTCTGTTTCCCCTTTCTCTCTTCCTTTCTTTTTCCTTTTTTTTTTTTTTGTCAGAAGTCATCCTAATGGGTATGAGATGGTATCTCATTGGGTTTTTGTTTTGCATTTCCCTAATAATGGTTACTTTGTACATTTTTTCATGTGTTAATTGGCTACATATGTTTTTTTGAGAAATGTATTTTCAAGACCTTTGCCCATTTTAAAATTGGGTCAATAATCTTTTGTTGTTGAATTGTAGGAAATTTTTATATATTCTGGATACTGGAATATTTTCTCCCTTTTTGTAGGTTGCCTTTTATTCTGTACATTGTATCCTTTGATGCAAAAAACAAGTTCCAAGTTTTTTTGTAGTCCAACTTATGTATTCATTTCTTTTCATCATCTTCTTTTGGTGTCATAACCAAGATATCAGAGCCAAGGCTGTCATCAAGTGTTCTCCTTCAAAGGCAGTACAGTTCTAGCGTTTATGTAGCGGTCTTCGATTCAGTTTTAGTTAATTTTGCCTCTGGTATGAAGTGAGGCTCTGACCTCATTGTCTGCATGTGGACATCCAGTTGGCCCTACTGCATCATTGAAAGACATTCCTTCCACATTGATTGGTCTTAGCACAAAGGAGGAAGCAAGAATTAAAGACAAGGAGTCAGTATAAGTAGGTAATTGGGTCGGATCATCTGCCGCAGTCTGGCTGGGCACAAATCAAGAGCCACTCAAGCAGGAACAAACTTTATTTCCGAACTCCCTTGAACCAAGCACGTGGCCTTCCCCTGGGACACGCCACATACCAACCGGAAATCCCTCCTCCGCACTTCCCCAACCAACACGGACTCCCCAGGAATCCCCAGGAGAACTCCAAAGTAGCCAGCGCAGGGTGGACAGCAGGGGTCTAATATACAATTGAATGCAGAGCTTAACATAACCATCATCATCTCAATGGCTTGCTGATGTCACTTCTCAACCACTCCCAAAAATGCYGTGTCATTCCAACTCGGCTATGGCTCTCAGCAATCATCAGTAGTGAAAATGGAGGCCTATTTGGGTCTGGGAAGTTGGAGATTGCCCCTGGGAGACGAGGTGATGTTAGTGGCTGCTCTGGTTAAGGCTCCGGGGCTCAGGAAGGACCCTGATCTGCATCTTGCTGATTCAGATGTTCTTGGTCGGGGGATCCCCTAGTCTATTTCCTGTTTGGACTCCTTACAGCAYGTGACTCAATGCAGTTTGGCCCCACTGGCCACACCTGTCCCCCCAAGATGGCTGCTGCTCCTTCCTGCCTACTGGGTGGGCCCCCTGAGGATCTACAGATAGCATCTGGAACCCTGGTTGCTTGACCCTCCTGCTCTGCAGGTAGGGACTCTGGGACCCTCAGCTACCTGTGCAGATGGGACATGAAGTGTGTCCAGCCCAACATTCCTTCCTCACCTTGCTGCCACCCAGAGCCACAGCACCTGCACACCCAGGTGGGAGAAGGTACCTAATGCTGTTGGACCAGCCAGCAGGACACACGTCACAGTGACTGAATGGTGGGAACTTCCCAGTGGTCTTTAACAAAACGTCCAGACCCTTCTCTGTCCTCTGAGAGAGTTTGGGGCCAGAAAACAGCCATAGCTGAGGGGTAAATGCTGTGAGGCACTAGTACTGCATGACATAGCTTTTAGGGAGCAGCCTGTACCAACTGGGTCCTGGCCTGGCCCCCGAGGAATCCACTCAGTCCTGCTGCCCTGAGAAGAGGCCCAGGAAGCTCCTGCCCAGTTCTCAAAAGGATGTGGAAAGGAGAGGGCAGGAGGCAGAGCCAGGAGCAGTGGGGGTCACCACCTCCTCATGCTCAGTACAGAGAGCAGCTTGGCCTTTCCACACTTCAGGGAGGCCAACTTGGGCCTCTTTGGGAGAGATGGGGCTTCCAGCAGCCTTGGGCACCTGCAAGGCCACCCTTCAGATACTGCCACAAGAGCTTGCTTGAAGGGCCACATTCCAGGGATGTGGTGTACCCTGGGCTGGGCATGGCTTCTCTGTCTTTTCCAAGCTGCTATCCCCACATCTTGTATGCAGAGTCCTGGGAGGACTGAGTGGCCCAGGATCAGTGCCCAGCTGGTGGGAGTCTGAGTAGGGGAGTGCTCAGAAGCACAGTGCTCTGATTCCAGCTGAGGGTCCTGATGGGAGGAGCGGACAGGGAGAGTTCTGGGGAGGACCTGCAACAGACCCCTGCACCTCAAGGTAGAAAGGGGATGTTGTGGGTGGGGGTCAGCTGCACTGGGACCCATGGGGGCAGGTGATCATGACAGAACACAAGGCCCCCACACCTGTCTTAGTCAGAAGTCACGGAGGCAGACATGTCCTGTGCCTGGGAACTCTGCTTGGGAG